TGCGAACACTTGATAACTGCACATACATTGTAGTCAATGAACTGACGGGATACTACTAGTTTTTAATGGCAGATTGAATGCAAAATTAATGACTTGTACAATTATTGGTCGGTTGTATTTCAAGAAAATAATTTGAGAGGAAAACGATGAAGAGCAATGATGAGATAGATAAACGTTTGATGCAAATTTTGTGAACTGAATCAATTTGATGAATAAACCAAGTGATGTTAGGTAGGTAGAATTCTGGTAGAGATGGGTTGGTTACCTGAATTTGAGTATTAGGGCGGTAGGCTGAATAATGGAGGAGGATTTTAAGAGCAGCAGGAAAAGTAATGACCGATTGAGAAGCAATTTATTTGAACGATGGTTGTATACGTGTTCTTGTCGACAAGCGTCCCTGCCATAACTTACCGATCACCCAAGCGTTTATTAACGTCGATGTATCACCCAAATCTGCCGAAGGGTCCCCTTCGGCCACTAATCGCAAAATTCGACGAGTTACTTTTCCTTCAATTAAGAAATTGTGCACAAATTATAAAGAAATTTTAACGAAATGTCAAAAATTTCTTATTCTATCATTCAAATAATGTGAAAGGCGCGAAAATGCGTGATTGAGGCATGCGTGCTGCTACCGTGCCAGCCTCGGTTTATGCATTTGTTTTGGAGTATGCACGATCGAATCAAGCTTTCTTTTTGATTCATTTTACTCATGTGTTGAAAAAACCTGTTGGAATATGCAACCTGAATACGATCAAATCATTGAAAGGCCTCTAGTTTCAAATACAAATACAGATCCAGGTGCATCTAATAGTTTCAAACTTTGGCAATACATCCTAACATTTACCGTATACCCACTCACAACCACACCGCATTCACTCAACCAATCAACGTCACTGTATTACAGTATGACACAATAATGCAAGCTCATCACTGAGGATACCGTAGGCAATGCACATGTAGGAGCAGATTGTTATGAACGGTCGGCTGGTATATTGGATGGGTTTAGATGGTTGTTTAATGCAACTAACCGGATCTTGTTTTTGGTAATGAGGGTGCTTCTTGAATGGCATCTGG